CAAGCGCATAACTATATATATATATATATATATATAGGTGAACAACAATTATTTATATTAATCTGGAAATTGAAACGTTTTTTTTTCCAAATTCTATTTTAAACTTACTTTGCTTTTGTTTCTTTTCTTTCGTGGCAAATGATACGGTCAATCCAATCGATAAATCGCCCAATGGTGAATTCTGCGGTAAGCGCCATACTTGCAGGTTACGAAACGTGCTCTTGATACTGTTTTTACCGCCCTGATCACTACTACGTGTCGTACTTTTATCTTTAGTTAGATAATCGCCATGTCTAACGATCGGCCAATAATCAACTTGTAGTTCGACCGATTCATTGCTAGGATGTTGCGGTGTAGCACCGAAAACATCAAGGGATCGATCACGCTGCGATGAAGCAGATGATGGTGGTGTTTGTATTGGCGGTGTTATGCGACCACTTTGCGGTGGTGATCCCGATAAACCACCTGCACCACCTCCCAGGCTCGATGATACCGCATTAGCATTAGTATTTTGTGAGTTAATATTATTAATAGGTATGGCGACGCTTGTATTGGAAGAAGATTGTTGAGCGGAAATGCTGCCAGCGGATTGAATGTTGCCTTCATCGAGATCAATCGAAGCTTGGGGTCCCTCCAAATACCCTATGCGTACGTCCTATAAAAGAGAAGCAATACGAAACGAATCATTAACTAACTGTAATAAGTTGTCTAAAATGTGAACGCGGAATAGCTTCTGCAAGAAATCGTAATGTTCGTCATGTTAGTAAACTAAAATATTATTTATGCCGAAATTTTGTTCTCCTATATGCGCCGCTCAAAGTCATTCCATAAATTCCATAAATCTATATAAAGTCTATTTGAATATCGTTTCGAATCACGGTAGTTTTCATACAAATTTTAAGACCGATATTGGGAAAGCGATTCGCGGATAAGGAAATTTATTCACAATTGAACTCAGAAACTCCCCAAAAAATAGCTTACATGTCGGAAATAGTGTTTTAGCCTTGAAGGGCAGTTCTTTTCAACTTACACTAACAAATGGCACAAATATCTGGCATGAATCCTCGTCCTTGTAGTTGACCATGGCTTCGGCTATGGGGATTTGGGTGCACGGCCCAGCTGCTTGCAAGTACCTATGTATGCGATTGACCAATTCAACGATATCCGATTTATGGGCAGCCATTGAATCGGCCAAGGAAGATGACAAAGCTGTTGCATTAACTGTTGTAACAGCGCTAACGGCAGCCGCTGTGGCTGCGGCTCTTTCGCATAATTGATACCAATTTTCTGAACCGAACATGACCGCATACGCTTGATCCATTTGGCTTAGATAGCGAGCTATAGTGCTACCTCCAATCGGAACTATGTAAAAACGCAAATGATTAAGCCAATCGGGCGGTCGAACGCCCATTAATTCGACATAATGCCGTAAAGTAGCACCCTGTAACCAGTCGCCGCCAATTAAAAGGATCTTAACCGTGGTGGGAGGTTTAGCGTTTGAGTTGCAGCTAAAAATATTTATAAATAAAAAATTAATTTTATTTATCTATCATCATCGTATCCATTCGTTGCCTAGTACTTACTATTTTTGTATTTTGCCCATTAGGGCTTGGAGTATTGCCTTAACTTCAGCTGTATTCTGTGGCACGAAGGCTGGTTTAAAGGAATTAGCAAATAGCGCAGTCAATTTTGTAACAAAACCGCCACCGCTAATCGCTTCTGGTGGACTTATTATTGTCACCACATCGGGCGTCATTGGATCCTCATTGGCAAATATACGCGCCAATTGATCTAATAATATTTTACGTGGCTCCACATTTGTAGGTGACAAACATGTTTCTAATACTGAGCGTGGTTCAGCACTTAGGCTAAGTGTTTGTTTCTTTTTACCCCCTCCCGGTATGCTACTCGACGTCCGAAAAAGACGAGAACGTTTCTCATTGGAAGCAGGTGTGTTGGCATTATTGCTAATAGTCGATGAAGCTATTCCTTGCAAATTAGTGCTCGTATTAACAGGTGTTAATTGTTGTTGTTGCTGTTGCTGTTGTTGATAATAATGTGGATGATGATGATGATAATGATGATGATGATGTTGTTGTTGTTGTTGTTGTTGTTGCGAACGTATATAATCCTTATCAATACGTGGAGGACTATTTTGCGGATCAGATGTTTGACCATCAGTGTAAACAGCATTGCCTTCATTGCCTGAGCTATCATTGCGATTATCACAGGTTCGATCTACGAAATTAATAAAATTAAGCAATATTTTTTTTAATATTTTTTTATTTTTTATTTTTTAAGTAAAACATCAACTATCATTCATCATTAAGATACAACTACTACTACTACAAGAGTTTTCCTATCGATTTTTTTTCATTCTTCACATTTCCAATCACAGACATACTGGCATTAAACGCAGTGGCAAGAGGTTAGGCTATTGCATAAATGACGGTGATTGGAGAACGTGCCTTTTTGTGAATTCTCTGAAATAAGTTACAAGGTCAAGTAAATTTGTGCTCAACAGTTTAAAGTGATTGATAGAAGAGAACTTAACGAAAAATGTTTAAATACTTCTTTTAATGGACAACATTTGATGCTAGAAATTAAAAAAAAAAATAAAATAAAATAAAAAATCCGCGCTAGAGCGATTATAATATATCCTTAGGGCAAAGCGAACCTAAATTGCGTGTCAGCCGGAAAATTTGTCATTGATATGAGGAAAAGCTGAGCAATATAATCAATTCTTTTTGTATGATGAGATGAGGAAGAGGGTATTCTAGTTAAAGATCACCTCAAGGCAAGAACGTGGGGCAATTTTTTGAATCATTTTTCATATAACTACTGCTACGGAAACTAAATCTTCATATGGTAAAAAGTTCGAATATCCAATATTTCGGGGTGAAAATTGGCTCGTAATAGTAACTTGCTGTTTTCTTATAAGCCTTTCCGTCCATCTGTCCACAAGAATATAATTCTTGTTTTTAACCTACCAACCGCAATTTTTAAAATGCGTTGAAGAAATTTGTTATACTGATGTGTTTTGACCCAAGGAAGAACCCTATTGCAAACGTTTCCGATCGGGCCACATTTTTGACCATTTTCCCTATGACGCCTCATTATGAAAAGCTCTTCTATCAATAACTGAATTAGGCGAAGTGCAGTAGGGTATTCAATGGTCGACTGGCTATACACTGTAGAAAAATTGTAAAATCAGGTAAACATTCATGCGGCTGGCGACTGACGGAAAAATGAACGACAACTCGCAGAATTTTCGGCGGAAAAGCGTATTAAAACAAAATGGTCCCAATGATCTGAGATATTGGTAGCTTGCTTTTTAAAAAAAGAGAGTAAGCGATATTGCAAAGAAGGGGGGCATTCTACGTTACAATATATTCGAGGTTGAGAGACGAGCGATATACCGCGATCGATTCCGATTCTATTTGGGAAATAAAAATGATCTTTTTTTTTTACGGGCCACATGCCCATACAATTGCATCGTTTTTGTAATGCGATACAAACGTTTTTAACTGAAGGCTTAGTAGTGAACTGATAGAACGACAAATGACGGCCGATGGGAGGAATTTTGTCGATCATATCTCTTGATCCAAGAACTGCAATGCCCTAAAATTTATTCTCCTGCGTAGGAAACTCTTTAAAAAGTAATGAGCCAGGAGAAGACGGAATAATGCTTTTGATTACATATTCTTCTTAAATCGTAATGTCCAAGCAATTTCATTATTAATCGGAGGACCTAAAATTTGGTGCAACTTAAGAAAAAAATATATAGTAATAATATCGATGACTTAATCGAATATATATATAAATAAATTAAATCTTTTGCAATTAGAATATTTTGATAAAAAAATTTAAGTTAAATAGCATTCTACAATAAATATGTGTAAATGTCAGTGTTATTGACATTTTCTAATTTAATTATATATATATATATATATATATATTATGTTATAGATGTAAATTATTAAAAATTGTATTCAGAAATTTCAAAAGATGTAAGCGAAAAATGTATATGTAAAAGAAAATTTGTACCGATCGCATAAAGAGTTAATTTCCATAAATCTACATATGAAGGCATGCAATAAAGGAAGAAAAAAAACAAAATAAGCAAATTAAAATTGATTACTAACAGGATAAAGGATAAAAGTATTCAGAGCCAATGTATTAAAAAAAAGTTAAGTTTGGTTTGTTTCATGTTTGGCGCTCTCTAAAGATTTATATAAGACGACATTCATTCATTTACACAAAAGCAATCAAGAAAGATAGTTAGTTGTTAGTTAAGTTAATTGATATAGTGTTTTTCAAAGTGAAGAAGAAAAATAAAAGATTTTTGAAAAGATTTTCTTCTTTTTTTTTTTATTTTTTTTATTTTTTGTTTACTTTTTAACTGACTGAGTTTGTCGAGTTTAACGCGGGAAGGGAAGGGAAAGGAGGATTACTTAAGAATTTAAGATTTACTTAAAAAGTTTGAAAGATAGTTGTTGTAGGATTTGAATTTTCTTCTTCTTCTTCTTTTTCTTTTCCTGTTTCCTTTTGCACTAATGAATTATTTATTTATATGAAGAGGAGGAGGTATGTTGTTTAAGGGAGACTTGGTTTTGTTTCGCTATTTTTTTTTGGTTTTTTTTTTTTTTTTTTGGTTTGTTTTCAATTCTGTTATTAACTATTCATTGCACAGACCTGCTTGTGTTGTTGCCGAATTGTTATTGTTTGTTAAATGAATGCATTTTTGTTTGTTATTTTCAATTTGAAAAGACGAATTGGTCAATTGGTCGCTTTTATCCGATGATCTGCGTTCAATGCTGCCTGCAAAAGAAATTTATTCAAGCCATGCAATTATAATAATTAATGTATTTTCAAAACACAAAAGCAAAAAAAAAAAAAAATCTTTTCTTTTTTAAAGCTAAAAAAATGTTTTTTTTTTTTTTTTTTTTTTTTTTTGCGTAATATATTATGTAAAAGCATATTAAATATATTTAATACTACACACGTTAAAAATGAGTTAAGTAAAAGTGGTTTTTTTTTTATGACATAAGGAAATGGAAAAGTAAAGTTATGCCGTATGAATTAAGTGCAACATTTTTTAAATATTTTAATATTATTGATAATTAATTATAATATAAGAGCGAGAAAGACAAGGCTATCATAAGATCCATCACTTAGCTGCAAGAAACATTAACAACAAAAGCACCTTTTCATAAGATTTCAAATTTAATGTAATATTTGTTGTTGTAATAACAGGCAAAAAAAAAAAAAAAAACAAGAAAAAAAGAAGATAAATAATATTTCGCGTAGCTTTTATACTCATTACTTTATCAACTTGTGTGCACAATAGGTAAACTATATTAGCAATGTTTGGCCGCATCCTACAAAAACTGTATAGAATTTTTGAACAACAAGCCTACACGGAACTAGTATTTTCAACTTGGATCTCTTTGTCGCAAAATCTCGAATTTCTTTAGTTTAAGAAAATAAAAATAAATTATGGTATTCTAGAGAAAATCGGCAGAAAACAAGTAATTAAATAAATAAAGTTACTAACGCAAATACTAAGTTCGTGCGATTGTGTGCAAAAGCCAAAAGATCTAAATCTGGATTAATTTTTCAGTAAGTTTGAATTTCCGAAGTTCCGTACTTTTCTTCGACCATTTCGACCATTGATAGATGAAAGTGGAATTGTTCCACACCTTCAGTACAGACGTAAAGACGTGCAGACATCCGCTGTCTACTCCGATAAAGGATTTATATATCTTGTTGTAGCCTACGATGAGCGTTAGCAAATGTATTCTATCTCTCCAATGCAGACGTAAAGACGTACAGACACTCGCTGTCCACTCCGATAAAGGATTTATATATCTTGTTGTAGCCTACGATGCGCTTTAGCAAATGTATTCCATCTCTCCAATGCAGACGTAAGACGCACAGACACTCGCTGTCCACTCCGATAAAGGATTTAAATATCTTGTTGTAGCCTACGATGCGCTTTGGCGAATGCAACATAATCAATATCTGTATGTTAGTGAGCATTAAAAGATTCATTTAATTCATTCTATAAGTAATCAAAAAATTTAAGCTGAGTGTTTTAAACGAACCTTATACCGACGATGTAGAAGAAAAACGGTTATAGTTTAGACGATTTCGGGGCCTAATTATTCTTCCCCAAACTCTCCGTTACGAATGCGAACTATAGGAACAAAGTGAAGCCCTTTTATCTACACGTTATGAGAGCAATTAATTGGCAATAAGTTTATTATAAGATTGCTTATAATGTATAAAAATCCTTTCTAAACATCGAGGCATTGAAGCTCACAATTTTTTTTTTCATTTTTTCTTTTTTTTGGAACGTAAGAAATGAAAAACCAAATAGTTCGTCGTTATCTAAGGGATGTCGGAGACACGCTCAGTCTCAGACTCTATTCGCAATAGACCATTTATCCTAACATATTCTTTAAATTCCCTGATGATCTTAAAGCAAATTATGTCTGATTAAGAAAAAAAATGTGGAGATCAGAAATTTATCCGAGAAAACACCCCCTGAACAAGGTAAGGCGTCTTCAAAGTTCCTAATAAATTTCACAGAAAAAGTAGAACAGTAATGCCTGTGTACATAAAATTTCCCGCCATCATTAGGGTTAAGTAAGTTGTAGAGGATTGTCGAATGAAAATGATGCCCCTTTATCATCTAAAAAACCGTTATGAAGTATTGAATTGATAATTTACACAGACATGTTATACATATATCAGAGCTGGACTCTCTGTGACGTTTGCATGATAGTTGAAATAGACCGAAAATTTCTATGATCCAAAATCTATATAATCACATAGCTCTTTGGATCTTAATATCACAAGTATGGGGCTCAGTGAAGAGAAGGACCAATAAATATCGCTGTAGAACATTAGACCACCAATGACGAGCATCGTGATGAACAAAAACGATTTGAATGGGGCATGCGCTCGGTGTTATCGCTAGTTTAAGTTAAAAGAGATTCCATTGGTTAAGTGTAAGGGACGTTGTGCAAATATTTCATAAAATTATAATAAATTTTGTCAAAAATACGCATAAACTTTTTTTTAATTATAATTTATTCTCAAATATATGTATGCAATGTATAATATTGTGTGAGTATTACGTCCTTAATACTCAACAGCATTATTAAAAAATTTAAGCTTTCACACGTTGCCTATGCAGTGTTCGTCCACCTCCACGACTCCAACACTCCACTCCCCGCATAGCACTGCACTGCATGCGTGCATTTAAACGCTTCCATATGTTTACTTTCAAAAGTGTAATTAAAAAAAAAAAAAAAAAAAAAAAGGAGAAGCGAATAAGAAACCTACTAGCACTTTACTTCTATTCCCAGCTTAATTTATATTCTTTTACTAACAAGTAAAACATAAGGGCATAAACTACGTGACGTAGTATTAAGAGGAGAATGAATGCTGGCGTTTTTTTTTTTTTTTTTTTTTTTTTTTTTTTGAAAAAAA